TATTGTATACTCTATTCTAATTTCTATACTAAAAGTATTCCAGTTTCTACTCTATTCTAAATTCTATTCTCTAAGTATACCATGGTTTCTATTCTATTCTAAATTTTATTCTCTAAGTATACCATGGTCTCTACTCTATTCTAAATTCTATTCTTTAAGTATACCATGGTTTCTACTCTATTCTAAATTCTATTCTTTAAGTATACCATGGTTTCTACTCAACGAGAATAGAATATATATTAGAGTGGAATTTACTAGAAAAAAAGTGTAAAACGGCCATTTTGTTGTACTGTTTCCATAATGCAGGTGTACTTCACATATGTATGCTATATAACCTTTTGGACCCTGGAATATCATTTTATAGAAAATCTAAAATTAATATTAAAAGAAAACCAAATTATGAAATAGGCTGGTTTCATAATTGACCAATGATCATTTCACATTACAATCGATGATTTTCGTTATAAATATAAATCAAATGATGTTTTTTATTCACCTAATTCATTATAAAGTTTATTTAACAGCTTTAAAAAATTCGAAATTGAAATGGATAGTCTAGGGAACATACTGTATTAATGTACTCTACTGCATATAATTTGTGAACATTTACATGATTTGTACACTTTGAACTCCTCCATGTCTTCCAACATTACACGCTAAACTAAAAAAGTATAAACGAGTTGGTGAGGTATAAAACCAAAGACCAAGACGTTGCGACTCTTTACAGTCGACGCTGCCTAAATATTTGATGATTAGGATTCTGAGTTGTCTGGATCTCATTAACATATATTTATGAATTGATTTTTGTTTGTCTCAAAACATTTGAAAAATAAAACATTTAAAACTTGGACAACTTTTCATTTTGGATACAAGTTTTGATGTGACAAGAGTTGAGTAAAAAGAGTAGAATTTATCCAATAAATTCCAGCTGTCTGAATACCATTTTATCAATTTATCATATACGCACTTATACAAACTATAGACACAAGGACATCACTGGTACAACTTTGTGATCTCGTAGCTCCTCTAGCTTCGATTTTATGCACAAGCATGTGAATCGCAAATTTATTTAGTTTAATATTAGAAATTCATAACATTTATGTTCTTCTAGCTCCATAACTCTCCAATTTTATGAGTTATGATGAAAAACGTAAGATATTTCCATTTTACGTGTGCGTAGTTGCATAGAGAATAGAATATATAGAGAGGAATTTAATGGAAAAAAGTGTAAAACGGCCATTTTGTTGTACTGTTTCCATACTGCAGGTGTACTTCACATATTTTTCAGGCTGAAAGGGACTGAAAAAAATCATACCGAGAGATTCTTTTAATTCCTCTCTATATATTCTATTCTCTATGGGTAGTTGACTTCACACCCCCCTTTTTCCTTTTATTCCCCTTCCTCCCCCCCCCTTCAAAATCCTTTGGTTACGCCTACATAATAAATTGTACCATTTTGGATCTGAAGACAAGAAGTTGTGATGAAAAGTTTTCTCGAAGATAATAATTGTTTACATCCCAGGGATTGAGGTGTAAACAGGTTTTTACAACCTACCTAAAGGGACTGTAATCGTAATTTCAGGTGACTCTCGGTGCAAAATGACAATCCCCGATTTTCACGACTTTACCATAAAGCTTAGTCTGACCGATGTTAGGTACTTTCCCAAAGGATTTTTCCGAAGGGGCAATTTCCCAAGGGTTTTTTCCCAAATGGCAACTTCCCAAGGATTTTTTTCCCAAATGGCAACTTCCCAAATGTGTTATTTCCCAAGCGGCCACATTCCAAGTCCGTTCTAGCCGCTGCGCTTCTGCCCCCAGTATGAAAAGCGCTTGATCCCTTAGCCTATCCTAGCCGCAGCGCTCGGCCCCTCAAATTGCAGCCTACGGCGCCTTAGAGGGCTTAACATAACCTTTAGTAAGTTGCCGATTGGGAATGTTCCACATTTGGGAAATTGTCACCTGGGAAGTTGCCCTTGGAAAATGTCTTTAAGAAAGTACCTAACACCGTCTGAACAAGTATGGATAACGCTCAAAGTCTCTTAAAAGCTTAGTCTGATAAAGTATAAATAGCGCGCAAAGTCTCTTGAAGATGAAACCCTTTAATTTACTTCATTTAAATCTAAAAGATCTGGACAAAAAAAACATTTTTGGCGACCGTTTAATAAACCAAACATGTTATTGAAACTTATTAAAACTATAAAGTGAAAACTGAGTTTTCTGCAGTTATCACTGTTAATTGTATATAACAGATAATATACAGATATACAAGCCAACAAAACAAATACCCCGGTCCATTAAACCTAGATTTAGTATGGAAATTAAACTAAATTAAATCAAATTTTATTCTCAAATTAAAAACAAAATTACCAGAGCCGTGGGAACTTTTATATTTTGGATATCGAGATCATGCTTAATCTCGATATTTTTTTAATCTACAGATTACTCTAATGTGCTTTTATATTACCCGCAGTAACAATCAGATATCTCGCGAAAACAAAATGGTGCGGGATAAACCTATATTGAACCAGAAAACAAAATGGTGTGGGATAAACCCATATGGAACCAGAAAACAAAATGGTGCGGGATAAACCTATATGGAACCAGAAAACAAAATGGTGCGGGATAAACCTATATGGAACCAGAAAACAAAATGGTGCGGGATAAACCTATATGGAACCAAAAAAACAAAATGGTGCGGGATACACCTATATGGAACCAGAAAACAAAATGAGGGATAAACCTATATGGAACCAGAAAACTGTGCAATGAATCCCATCAATGTTCCCCTTTTACTTGAGAAATTTCGCAAATTATTTTGTAATTTAAAATTGTTTCAAGTGACAGATCTTTGAAATATACAAATGACAAAAATTCTTTTCGACATATTTAAATGAAAAATGAAGACGCTGAATGTTCTGCCATGTTTTCTGAAATGGTATTTTATGAAAATTAAAACTCAAATATTAAGTACTATTAGCTGGAGAACCTCGTGTTGCCCAGGTTTATATCATTCTTCATAGAAATACTCTGTCGTTTACCCGCACTTTGTATTAAATCATGATTTAGCTGAATTGCCCATTGTGGCCCATTGAATTTCAAAAATTTTAAAAGAATTTGTAACCTAAGTTATGTAGTCATGGCCGGGTTCAGTATAAAAATGTCAGCCCATTTGGTCCAGCTGTTTGGACAGCTATAGCTAACGTATATATATATATTTATATATACGGGAAAAGATATATGCCGGTGTAAATCCAGTAGTTCTCCAACCTGCATCGGATCAACATGTTCTCCTGCATAGTAGTTTATTACCTACAAATATATTGCTAATAAATATCAAATAAACTATATCATAGACTTGTTCTTACTCTTTAAAGGGACCGTTCACTTTTTTGGGTAATTTCAGGGTGCACCCCACCCCCTCGGATGATGACACCTCTCAATTAGTTGTCTAAATTATAATATTAGTAACTCCCAATTATTATTATTATTCAAATCTTTTTATTGATCAAAAGTACAAAAATAACATATAAACTATATATATATATATCAAAAATAGGTACATTTTGATTTTAATATTTTACACGGAAAAAATGTTTATTCATGTGGAAATCTTGAAGATTTGGTAAATGACACAATTTTTATTTTTATTTTGAAGTTAAGTAAATTCAGTAATGACAGTAAAATGAGCTGACAGCCTTTAATGATTAAAGATTAATGAAGGCTCGTAGGGATATGATTCCGATGGTTGAAGAAAAAAATAGGAACAATAAAATACAATAAGAACAATATACCCAGGAAGAGCTTGGTGAGACCTACTAAGAAGGTATCTAGGAGCAAGGCTGTTCTGTCCTATGATGAACTGATTGAGGGTCCTGGTAGAGTGGAAGATGCTTATGATGATCTTGATTCTGTGTTTGAGATCCCTAGGGAGGTGTAGGAGTTTGAGACCTAGGAGGCCAGTGAAGTGCTCAAGGACGCTTATGATAGCCTCGGGAATGATGACAACATTTAGTTTTTTTTAGGTTTCAAGTGATTGAAAACTATGAATTCTTGTGATATTAGGAAATAGGTCGCGGGGTGCACCTGAATTTTTTTTCTTTGTTCCTGGTTGGCGAGTGTTACGCGACCCAGTCACGTATATGGGATATGAGGGAAAGGTCGCTCCTGTGCTAATATTCCTACAAGATATCTGCAGCGCCCCTGGACTTCGTACTGCATGAAGAGGGGAGTTTCCAAGAATAAAAATAAAGCTGCTCAAAACTAGGTTTTATATGTATTGTTTATACTCTAACGTACATTCTAATCAATTGAGATGTGACTTTTGATGGCGATGTTCGCCAATGTTTTTGTCTCTTTGTTCTTGTGATATTGTGTGAAGGCTCAATATGGTAAGATTTACGCTAGAGTTACTTAATATTATTGTACTATTTAGAATAAATCAAAACCTACAGTTTTTTACGCCCAAGTAACTTGTTTCTCAAGATTATTGTCGTATTTTCTGATTTATTTGTATTTTATAGTTTTCGTCATTTTTTTTATGGGCTTTTTCTGTAGTAAAAATATAAGAACTCTATTTATGTTATTTTATAGTTGAACATGCTGATCTGAATAAATCCTGAGTTCTTTATTTGACGGTCAAAATGAGTACAAAGGATAGAGAGAAATGTTCCGACAAACCATCGCAGAATATCACTAGGCACATGTATTCGCTGGTCACGAAACACATTATTTTGTTTTCCAAAATTTCATAAGAATTCATTAAAAATTGAATGAGATAAAACAAAGAATCTGCAAAAATTTTGAGTGCTGCAGTGAATGTTATCAATTTATAACCTTCTAATTCAAATTTCTAGTATTTTTATAAGGTTCGAAGAATATTTTTTAAATTTTTATCACATTTTATTTTTTTGTGCCTAAAATCCGAACAAAACGAAAATTTTAAACATTTTTGTCCAAAAAATCGATAATCCCGGTTTTTTTAATCGCCCTGTATTTACACTTTAGAACTTGCCTTATAGGTATTGTTTAACTAATAATATCTTTTTTAAGTTTCAAAAACTTCAACAATTGCCTGAGCTGAAAACTTTAGAATGGTGGATATCGAGATTAATGCTTAATCTCCTCTTTTTCTTAATCTCCAGATTAAATATTGCTTGTTCTCCTCATGAATATAATCTCCAGATTAATTAACAGATAGGGATTAAGGATATCACATTCTAAAGTTTTCAGCTCTGGTGAAAAAGTACAAAGCCATGCAATAGTATTTTACGATTTTTCGAACTTAAACGTTGTCTCGACCATTAGACATTTTTAGAAATAAATAAAAGTAATTTTACCTTTTGAAGTGTCTTTATTAGGTTGTTTAGACAATAAAATGTAAGTCTCCTGGTTCAAAGATACCACTGGGTTTGATCTGGATGTAGAACTCACATCTAAAAATACTGAATTTTCAAAATAATTAAATCAATTATTACACTTCTTATCAAAAATTCATTATATTTACTTCATCTTCAGTTTAACTTTTATGAATCCTCGACAATGATCAGAGATGTTTAACCTTTATTTCAACATTGTACGCTCGATAAGTTTGCTTTCATAACATTTTGCAAATTTTCACTTTGACGATCTTTTATATTTTGCAAAATTATCAATCGAAACAATTTTGCAAAAAGATTTGTAAAATCATGCCCAAGAAAACTTTGTAAAAGCAGACGCTTATGTATCCTGAAATTAAAAAACCTTTCCTCATTTTTAAGTCTTAGTCGGGCCTCTGGTGAAAGTTCTCCTGAGAAAATATACACTTAGGATTTCAGAGCTGAAAACTTTAGAATGGAGGATTAATGCTTAATCCACTCTTTTTCTTAATCTCCAGATTAAATATTGCTTATAATCCTCATGAACTTAATCTCCAGATTAATTAACAGATCGGGATTAAGGATACCACATTCTAAAGTTTTCAGCTCAGGGGACGGGACATTAGTTCCAAAACACTGAGTGTTAGAAATGGGCACAAATTGAAAGACTGAGTTTTTAGTATCCAGACCCATAAGTCGATAATGAACACTGTAACTAGAGATGTTAACGTTTTCATTTTTCAGAAAACGATCGTTTCGTTATGAAAACGACAACGAAAAATCGAAAACAAAACGATCGTTTTTAAACACGATCGTTTTTTAAAAAGGACGTTTTTTAAAAATGGGCGTTTTTAAAACGATCGTTTTTCAAAATGATCGTTTTTATAAAATTCGTCGTTTCGTTAACGATCGTTAAAGAAGACCCTTTAAGTTAACGATCGTTAACAACGAACCTTTGTTAACGATCATTAACGAAGACCCTTCGTTAACGAAGAGAGGAAATCGACCTAAAGGGCATCTGTACTTCTCATTGAGTAGTTTCTCAGAAAATTTTAACTCCCCCACAAATTTTAAACTTCATGTAAAACGACATTCAATAAAGTTGCATGTAATTTTTTTCCAAACACGACCGTTTTGATAAAGTTCGTCGTTTCGTTAACGATCGTTAATGACAACCCTTCGTTACGGATCATTAACGACGACCCTTTGTTAACGATTGTTAACATAATTGTCAATAAATTTTTTTTTCAAAAACGATCGTTTTTTTAAAACAATCGTATAAAAAATGGTCGCAAATCGTTTTAATAAAAACGATCTGTTTCAAAAACGGTCGTTATTCGTTTTCTAAAAGTTCAAAACGAGTGGGTCGTTTTTAAAAACGATCGCTTTTAAAAACGAAACAAAAAACGATCGTTTAACGATCGGCTACAAAAACGATTAACAACCCTAACTATAACCAACATTTTATGAAGCATGACAATGACAATAATTCCCAATTAAAACTATTTCCCTGAATCAAAATTATAAATGGAGTTCTTCTTAAATTAAAACCATTGACTGTTTTCAAGACAAAGTCAGGTTTTCATTTTACGAACATATCCCGAGTTTGAATCATTGTCGCGTTTTCGAGACAAATCCCACTTTCCCGTTTTTGAACATAATCCGGTTTTCAGAACAAAACTCACTTGCATAACTTACAAAATAAATCCCTCTGCTAAATATTTTGATAGTCTTAGTTTCCACATTTTATTTGTTAAATAAGAGTTTGCAGTTAATTTAATTTTCATTAATTTTATTTAAAAATTTCCCACAAAAATAGTAACATTTTTATTGTAAGAACAAAACAATATTAATAATTTGATTTCTCACTGCTTTAATGGTTATTAAGTTATTAAAAGAACAATATGTTTTTATTTTTCGTTTTGTTTTATCAAAAAATCTTGTTTTGTTACGTAAGTGGGTAAATGTTTGAAAATTAACATTGATATGAATTCGTGTAATTGTCTCAAAACCAGGATTTGTTCCGAAAACGCGAGATGAGCTGAAATACGGTAATTGTTTCAAAATAGGGATATGTTCGAAAATGAAATCAAGCATCAACAAAAGTTAATTCTCAAGCATTATTGTTAGTTTAAAGTTGACAGTTTTTGCGTTAATATATAGTTTTAACCATTTTTATAAATGTATAGTGTAGTTTAGTTCAACTCAGCTTGGATTTAAAGATACATATGCTTGGAAAAGATAACTTTGCAGGTTTAGCCCATTTCTAACACTCAGTGTTAGAAATGGACCAGGGGTTAGTCTTGGAACTAATTTCCCCTGGATTTAATTTAGGGGTTAATCTCTTGGTGAGTTGCCTATTGGGAAAGTGTCTACTTACCATACAATATTGTGAAGATCTGATGAGATCCATTCAGAATACTCAACAATTTCTTTTTGTTTATTTCCAGATTGTATTCAGACAAATTCAGGTGGAGAATTTTTAATGAGCAGGGCATCTCCTGTCTTAGAACACAGATTATGGTGGCTATTGTGAATAGATCTAAAATTTGAGAACATATTATATAGATTAAATAGTTATATTCTAAAAATTTCCTACTTTATTAAACAGATAATTCAATTAATTTGTAATTATTGATTAAAATTATCTTCACCTTCTGACAAATCTGCAGTGGGATCTTTGTTTTGGACTTGGTTGGTGGAGTAATCAGGATTCAGAGTTATAATAGTATCCTTTTTAACAAGAGTAGCACCACTGCCCTCTATAACTATTATTAAAAAATACAAAAATTCAAGAATTCGCAGGATACAAATATTTTACAGTACTTTTTATCATGTAACAGTAGTTTAACCCAGTTTAAATTTTCCTTACATTGAAAACAGTAAAAAAGGCTAGTTAGAAAGATAAAATTAGACCAGTATTTAATTTCTCAAAAACTGAATAACATAGCTCAAAAACATTTGCTTGTTCTATAAAGGACCATCATATTTAATGACTAGCAAAAGCAGCAGTGATGCGCAGACGGAGTTCAACCACTTCTCTTGAGCAATGGTTCAAGCAGAAGAGAAGATGTTGAACCACATCGACGAGGTTCAACCAGGTCTTGCAATTTAATAAATATGGTCTCTAGTCTAGTCACAAAATCAACAAAATAGTTCCTGTTCTATTTAAACTTCAATTATTACATTACAATTCTATGTCATGACTTTTTATATGACAATTAGCTGAACTTCAGCTAGTTCAAATATATATATATGAGCGAATTGCTTTACTATATAGATGTAATCATGTACCTGAGTTAAATATAAATATTTCCGGGTTTGAAGAGATTATCTGAAAATAATCCAGTTAGTCCTGCATTTTCATTTTTGTGATAATTTAAAAATGTTTTATCAAGTTTTTTTCCACATGTGAAAAGGCAACACTCGTTAGTTCTGTTCCAATTTCACTTGCCTTATATACATGTTTCCTTCTAATCCCAGGGCAATATGAAGTCAAGTTTAGATGAAGAGCTTTCAATTGACATCCTCCATTCTTCAGAAGCTCTACAGCAGAGTGCAGTAAACTTTCATCTAAATCTATATTTAATATTTAAAATAGAAATGTAAATTACAAAGCTTTCAGGGCTCTTTGTGTCCATTAACTAGTACCAATTTTAGTTGCTAACCGTTGCTCTTTAAGCTGCCATTTTACTGAATAATTCAGATATGCGGATTTTTTTATTATAAACTTGCGCATTTCCAAAAGAATAAATGTTAAAATTTTGGGGCTAAATTGGTCCTTTTTAATGATTTTTTTTAATTATCGCCTTTCTTGGGTTATGTTAATGTGAATTACCACAATTAAAAAAAACTTGGCCCGAGCTGATCAGCCATTTTTACGTAATTAGTGGATACAAACGGACAGGCTTACAAGGAAAGGATTCATGTATTAGTTAATGGGGGAACATTTAAATATTTTAATCAACCAGGGGCGGATACAGGGGGGGGCGGGGGGACATTCGCCACCCCCTGACAGATTCAGGGAGGGGCGTAGCCCCCCCCCCCCCTGAGATTTCGAGGCAAAAAATGTTCCCAATTTGATAAGTGTTATTGTTAACGATAAATTTAGAATTAGAAATTTGTAAGAAACTAGACTTCAGTTATAATATTCTTCATATCTAGTAATGTTCCTTAATCAATACTCATTTATCAAAATTGTAATATATTGTTCCTAATTTTCATGCATTTAAGTATAACTAGTAATTTCTTTTTGTTCTTAAATTGCTAATGTTCCTATTATTGTTCCTGTTCCTAATACTGTGTCCGACCCACCTTAAATTCCTGTCCTAATCCTATATTTTTGTTCCTAATTCCTGAACAATCTTTTTACTGTTCCTAAATCCCTGTCCAAATCCTTTAATTTTGTTCCTAATTCCTGAACAATCTTTTTACTGTTCCTAAATCCCTGTCCAAATCCTTTATTTTTGTTCCTAATTCCTGAACAATCTTTTTACTGTTCCTAAATCCCTGTCCAAATCCTTTAATTTTGTTCCTAATTCCTGAACAATCTTTTAATTGTTCCTAAATTCCTGTTCTAATCCTTTAACTTTGTTCCTAAAACTTAAAAATCTAGTTTTTTAGTCTTTAGTCATTAATTTTGACTCTTTTTGAGTCTTTTAAGTCAAAAAAAATTTCGCCTCCAGCACGGTTTTTTGTTCCTAATTATTAATTTTTCTGTTCCTAAAAAATCTTGCCCCCCCCCCCCCTCACTTAAATCCTGTATCCGCCCCTGTAATCAACAACTTAAATTGGTCTCTCAACTTGCAGTTCAACTTAAATATTTCAATTCCTGTTTGATTATCCTTCTTATCTTTAACCTTCATTTCTGAAAAAACAAAAGCAATGTGAAACTTTAATCTTATAATATAATTTTAACAAGCATGACCATGGTCTAATGTCTATCACTGAAAGCATCTGGATATCACACACTTGTAAATGCCCCATGGATGATTCATTCTAGTGTACATCAAGTAGAATACTGCCTAGTTTTTTACAAACAGGGCTACTCCTCCTAGGAATCAGAAAACCACAACAATTTAGAGAACGATTTCTGGACTCTAAGATCCAGTGGTCGGATGATAGAGTTCTGAGGTTTCCCAAGCACGAAGATCTGGAATACTCTAGGTTTGGTTTATCTCTGGAGAAGATAGAGGAGCAAACCTGGAGCCAATCTGTCTTTGGTACCCGGAGCATGGTTCATCCTAGTGGGATTAAAGTCCGGCTCCTGCGTGTTGACGTTAGTTCCACAAAACCTTGTGAGATTGGGAGAAGGTGTATGAAGCTGATCCGGTGGCAGAGGTGGTCTTTGCTGGAGTGGGCCAGGCTCAATCCTGATCTAGTGAGGGTGTTCTTTGTGAGGATGGGGACTAGGTGGACTGAAGATGTTCCATTTCTTCCTGGCTGGAAACCTAGAGGAGGTGGGAAGAGGACTAGGAGTCCATCCAGGTCCAGACCAGGAGTGGAGAAGAAGAGGAAGAGATCTGGGAATGCTGCTGGAGTTGTTGGTGAGAAGAGATCTAGGAGTACTGCAAGAGTTGTTGATGGACTCCCTGGTGTGGAAGCGTATGTTAGGTCTTCGTCCCAGCCTGATCCAGGTTTACCTGGAATAGGGAATGGGACTGAAGTTCTGCATAGCAGGCCTTATCAGGATGAGGAGAAGGAGTTGGTTGAATCTGGTTCAGGGCCAAGCAAGGGGAAAGACCTCCGTGCTGGGTTGAAGTCTAGGAGAATTTTGGTGAGACCTGCTAAGAAGAGTTCTTGGAGCCTGAGAGTGTTATCCTATGATGAGAGAGGTCCTCCTAGGGTGGAGAATGCTTATGAAGATCTTGATTCTGTGTTCGAGATTCCTAGTGAAGTAGAGGATTTTGAGATTTAAGTGATGAGGGAGCGATTGAGGACGCTTTTTAGATGATGTTAGTGCTTTTTTTCAGGATTTAGTGATTAGAAACCATGAATTCTCGTGATAATGAGAAACCTGTCGTGGGGTGCAATCAAACTTTTTTCTGTTTTCTCTTGGTTGCGGAGTGTTACGCGACCAAGTCACGTATATAATGATCTATAAGGATGGTTGCCCCTGTGTGAGTATGCCGGAGAGATTCTGTAGCGCCCCTGATTCCTCATATTGTGTGCAGACAGAAGTTTCCAGAAGCCGGTTTCTGGAGCTTGTTTATACAGAGCGTCCCATATCATATTAGATTATCTCCAATCTTTAACACCAAAATAAACCCTTAATACTCGAAAAACTTATACTTTTCCGCAAGAAAATTCTTATATAAGCCTTATGTTATTTTTCAAAATGATTCATTCTAATGAAATTTTCTAATTAGTCCCGAAAATCGTAATTTAGACCCGTTCTCGGTCCAATATGATGCGGGACACCCTGTAGTATAAATCTAGCGTACACTTTTCGGCGCAGTTGAGATTCAAACTTAAAACGTTTTATTACGACGCCATATTTTTTTTGTTTAAACCAAATTGTGACACGATGTGGAGGTTCAATATGGTAAGCTACGCTAGATTTATTAAAAATATATTGTATTGTGTTTTATAAAGTAAACGTACAGGTTTTTTAGCCCTATTATTCATTAAATTAATAGTATTCTGTATTATATTCACGTCTTTTTCTTTGCTTTGTATTTTAATGGGCTTTTTCCTGTAGGAAAAAAGATAAAAGGTAAAAAAGATTATGAGTTCTAGTTGTGTTTTTCTTAGTTGAACTGCTGAAATATATTCCTGAACTCTTACTTGGCTTCAAAATGAGTGGGAGAAAAGGAAGGAAAAGTTACGACAAACCATCACAGAATGTCACAAGGTACATGTATTCGCTGGTCGCGAAACACTACTACTACTAGTACTACTACTACTAGTACCACTACTAGTACTACTCCTAGTACTACTACTAGTACTACTACTAGTACTACTACTACTAGTACTACTACTACTAGTACTTCTAGTACTACTACTAGTAATACTACTACTAGTACTACTACTACTGTTTCGTGCCCCCAGAGCACTTAACAAATGATAAACGTACAGTAACTCCCCAAAAATAAGAGGCTACATAATATCCGGCTTGCGAGATGGATTGGAACTACGCAAAGATCCTGCCATTCTTTCTAGAACAGGTTCCTGCTATATACACGTTCAATCTTATAAAAAGAAAGACCACTCAATTCAAATGACATAATCCATATCATGACTTATGAAAAACCCTGTTCTAGTAATAAATAATAATAAATAATAAACGTAACATTCATACAATTCTCATTCATACATAAAATCACCCTAAACAATATTTAGGAAACCATGACCCAGTACATACTTCTACATGTCTTACAAGGCCGATAATTGTTATTATCAGTTATATCCGACTACAACAATTTTATTCTGAAAAGAACACATTTTAGTATTAACTTTTCCAAATATTTCGGTCATAAAAAACAAGAAAACCGATCTATATGTTTACGACACGAGTTCTAACACTAGACTAAGGCGTTGTACTAGTAGTAGTACTAGTAGTAGTACTAGTATTAGTACTAGTAGTAGTACTAGTAGTAGTAATAGTAGTAGTACTAGTAGTAGTACTAGTAGTAGTAGTACTAGTAGTATAAGAATGTTCTTCTATTGCATTTTGTATTATAAATATTCTGAAAAGATTGTGATCAATATTGCAACTTTGCTTGGAAAAATATCATTTTACATGGCGCTTAAATATCAGATCACAATCAAATATTACTCACGGTCCAGTCTTCTTCCACCTGCACAACATTCCCGGGCGAAAGAAAGAAATAAAAAAAAACATTAATTTATCTGGACCAGGCTTATAGAATTGAGGGTGACAAAGAACACAAAAAAAAAACACAAGCTGAGCTTTAACGATGATCTTGTTCTCTTGCATGGGGGGATCTTCCTCTCCTGATGTGAGAATGAGGAATTTTACCTCTAACTCTCGTGCTGGATGGTCCACTAGACCTATCCCGTGACAAGTTTCTCCTTGGCCCCCTGGGACTTCCTCTAGATGCTCTTGACCTACTCCTGTAATCCCTAGAACTACTTCTGGGTCTCTTCTTTTGCCCAACTCTCTTTAGAACAGATGAAGAGTGAAAGTCTCGGACCCAGTTTGTCCTCTTAACGCTTTCCCCAAGATCAAAATTCTTGCTAAATTTAGCAACAATCTCCCTTTGAGCAATGACCTCCCTTTCCAGCTGCTCAAGACGAAACTTGGCTTTGGCCAAACCCTCAGCTTGATTCCTCTTGATAGTAACTTCACAACCTGGAACTACTGAAGGAGCAGAATTAGTTGACCTCATGACAATCAGTCTCAAGTCTTCATAATAGGACCTGTAATTCTTAGAGAAACCCACATCTCTCCTGTACTTGTCAAACAAACTGTCAACTTTGAGAACATTCAGCCTTGCCCACTCATACAATGCCTCCCTCTGACCCCTATCAGTTCTTCTAGCTTCAGCCAGAAGAGAGGATATCCTGACAGAACTGGTGTCTACCTGAAATACCTGTTTTTTCAGCTTAGGATGAGTCACCAGGCCTAGTGTGTCAGTTGCTGGATCAGTTCCTATTTTAGAGTCCACCTCTCCAATATCCAAATGCCCAAATCTAGCGTACAACCTGTGTGCAGCGGAGATGGTAACTGAGAACATTTTTTCATGCTCAAACACTTGTGCCTCCTGAAGTGACTGATACTGAGACAAGTATCTTTCTCTCACTGGCTGCAGATACCTTGGTCCGCCCTCCGCCAGGGTTGGCCAATGGGGCAACAGATCTATGACCAGATTTACCTTGTCAGATGGAGCGGCAGACAACACTCCTCTATGTGTACAATACCTCAAACTGGCCATCAGGTCAGACCTAGTCACTGAAACTGAGACTGCTGGACTAAAGACAGCAGAATTCTGCAGTGTCTGTCCAATCCAGACACAAAACCAACTTATGTAATCAGTTTGATTGCATGAGGAGAGGTAACATGCTATGTCTGGGTCAGGGAACAACTCCCACAAAAACAAAGAAATCAAGACATTATATGTCAAGAATCCAAACTTGAAATTTACCATCGCATATACTCTCAAAGAATGAGGCAGGTCTTGATATCTCAACCCCCATGAATCATCTCCTTTCGAACAAACATTATTCATTGGGGCCCCCAGTGCTATCATGCTCATGGATGTCATATGTCTTGATTCTAATCTCCACCCTGCCAGTACTGCCAGACACTCTAAATCAACAGGTCCTAACATCTTGAACTCTTGATTAATGAACAATGTGATTGTTTCTTCAATTACAGTTACATTACTTTTAATCTTGAGTCCTGTACACACAGGCAAATCGTGCAAGATGGACACAATGCTCTTCTGAATATCTGGACAGGTTATGATAAAGTAATCATCTTCATCCTTTTCAATCTCAAAAGACATCACCCCAGCCCAGCTGCATCCATTCCCAAATATAATCTTGGCTTGAAAACTCACCCATTTATCTTCCATCATCCTTCCATCTTCATCTTCAAACCAAGATATCTCATCTTCCTCATACGCCCCAAGAGTCTTGGCAAAAAACAATCTTCTTCCCACCATATCCTCCCTTGTTATGCGGAGAAGATCATACCAAGAAACCTTCATATCTCTGACATCTAGAGATATTACACAAGTAGGAAGGGTGATCTGATCTACATCATATTGATCAGATATCCATTCATGAAACTCCTGAATATCCTCCTCACTTGACCTACCAAATATGATCTCCCTTACATCTAAATTCTCCTCATATGAGTAAGAAAGGCCTCGTTGATGTGCCCAACATTCAACAGTATCATTACTTGGTTTAGCCCAAGATCCAG